GTGTGAACCAAAAACTGGTCTCACAACATTAACGGGCGAGCCAACTGGCCCGGGTTATGGGGTCAGAAGCGATTTGTAAAAGAACCTTCTGGTATGTCTTGTAAGAAAACGGGAGGATGCAGAACAATTCTTTAAGATTGTATTCGAATTCCTCTTATTGTTTTTTAAAAAAAATTAAAATATCATTACTGAATCCAATTTGATTACCAATTAAATTATCAAGTAAAAACATTTAATAAAAGAATGCGGCATTTTCGAAACCAAAATGGCTAAAAAAAGAAAAAACACATTTTATCATTCATTATTTGCATTATCCATCAAGGAATACTGATAGAATGAAAAAAAAAATTATTATTTTATAACCATAATTACTGTATATTTCTTTAACCTTTCATAATCACGTTACTTACCATTTATTAGGTAGATTTAAGCTTTTTTGTAGATAGACAAAACTTCTTCTTGTTAATTTAAATAGGTGGAATCAAACCAATAATATTTTTAGAATGGTTACATATAAGATGATATGATTATTGGATCCGGTTAATTAGATGTATCAATATTTGCTGATTTATTGGCTATTCAAGAACAGACACCAAAAAATTTTTTGTATATAAATCTTAACAAAATAATCTTTAGACATAGATTAAATCATTATTAAACTGACTGTAGGGATCAATGTTTATCATTAACAAAAGACCAATTCTGTCGGTCCGTTAATATGTTTTTGTTGTAGTAATGTTTATTAAAAAAAAAATAACTTACAGCATGTTCGGTGACAGCCCCCAAACATTACTTCTATCATCATGACACACAAATTATCGGTTTTTCAACCTTCTAATTTTTATATAACGTCGACCTCAAAATCAATTAAATTAAATAAAATAATCTGCAAAGATTACTAATATATTATGAAACTTGGGCCCCTTCATCTACCACATCCAGAACCTTTATGACAGAGTCTATTCCTTTTTCGGTAAACACATTTTTTATGGCCTCTGCGATGTTGTCGATTTTGTCTGGGTTGCCTGTTGCCAGGGCCAAGATTGTGGGACCTGCCCCACTAAGGCATATTCCCAAAAGTCCCGGGTGCGTGTTAGGTTTCACGCTAGCGAGAACCTCGGAAAGACCAGGAATCTGGTTAATTTAACCCAAATGAATTAATAAGTGCACGAGTAAAAACTAGTGACGGTCGGTCCTTAAGATTCGACCTTACCAAATTTGTTCGATATGGCTGGTGCACTCTGTCCTGCATCGCTTGATATATTAAATCCGCGTTTGGCGGTGAACATGACAATGCCATGATCAGGACCGCTAAGCGTTGCAAATTAAACACCTTAAAATTTTTTGTAAGAAAACATGATCATGATGAACTGCACGCTTAACACAGGGAATTCCGGGATTTAAGAAACCAAACTTTACCACATCTTGCTTGCTGTATGTTGTCGGCAACACACTCCTGGCTTCTTCGGTGGATACCTCAAATTGCGGTATAATGGTTATAGCTTTAATTTCCCTGGCCCAACTTAATCTAATGTAATTTCCTATTCCTTGCGGCACAGCAGGATTTGCTGAATTAGAAATGGTCATTGCCTCCTCGTCTTCTGGAGATAATTCCCTCAGATACGAGGCCACGAATCCACCCATCAGGGCAGCCGTGACGTTATCAGGATGGCGTTCTATCATTAAACAATAATCAAGCATACGTTCCCTGGTCAAACCCAAATTTCCGACAACGTCACCTAGCATAACGCCAGCGACAATCGCGGCTCCAGATGAACCCAAACCGCGACCCAATGGGATAGGATTATCGACGTGGATGGTTAACGGAGAAGGGAATCCTTTGATATTATTGCAAGAGAGAACATAAAGTGCTGTTTTTGTGATCAGGTTTTTCTCGAAATCGAGAGGTATGGTGTCGGCACCTTCACCAGAGTATGTCATGACTACCTCATTACTATATTCTTTACCAGGTTCCCTTTCGAGGAGGTCAAGCTCAACAGTAAGATATAAGGACAGTGACACGCCGAGTACATCAAAACCCGGTCCTATGTTAGATGAAGTACAGGGGACGGTTATACGTACTTTTCTTGGGCACGCCATTTCTTTTTTTTTTTTTCTCAAGAAAGTTGATCGATACGTACGTACGTTAAAGTTAATTACAAGCAGGAAAGTTGCACCGATGCATTTATAATCGATTGGGTTTTCTTCTGTTACATGTTGATAATCGTTATCTGGGATCAGACGTGACGTAAATTCATTATAGACTGTACCAACCAAATCTGTTATAAAAAGTCAATTGTTGTTATATACTATTTCGTTGACATTTTTCATAA